AGGGAGATGAGCAGAACGTAACTGAGAGCCCGGTTGTTGGCTTTGACAATAGGAGTGTCTTGGTGCTTCACAAAGAGCCCAAGAACAGCAGCTGTGAGAATAGTGAAGCTCAGGGCTGTGACAACCAGGGTTTTTCCCAGTGGGTCTTTATAAGCCAGAAATGTCACAGACTTTTGTAGACAGTGATTTCTCTGAGCATTGGCATACTGATGATCTGGACACTTCACACACTGTTCTATATCTAGGGAAAAATTAAAAGTATTTTTAGTCAAATTCCAATATTTCTCTCCTCTTCCCAGCCCCTACTCATAGAAGTGCATGGTTAGTTGAGCCAAATTGTCCTCTTATTATTATTATTTTTTTTGACAAAATTAAATTGAATTTCTGTAAAAAACATCTTGGGCATTCATTCAATGAGCAATCAGTCATGGAAATGCGATCATGATTTTCTAAGTGCCAGCATAGCAGATATTATCAGAAGTACTTCCTGTCAGGTAGAGTAAAAACTAACACCTAACCAAACGTTATAATTTGCATCACTATTCATATTTGAAGTTTGATTGCACTTGATCAATCGATCAAGTTGGAAAGAACTAAAACTCTTTCATCAATGAGTTTCCACACATGAATACGTTGTGTACAAACAATTATTTCCATTTTGTTTATGTAAATGCTTTTCTTTAATGTACTGGTTGTATCTTTCCAAATACTAATAGAGTTTATAATTAGATGCTTCATATTTTAAGATGCAAATTTAAGTGTCATCTATGAATGGTTCTTGAGTGAGATGTAGACATAGGTTTCAACATTTATCTTTTATTTTGTCACTGTGAAATAAAATCATTATTTCATTGGGATTTTATACTAATTCACTACCATTACTGAAAAATAATATCAGCTACATTAAATAATTTTTAATACATTTTTGTTTTTATTTCATTTCCTGAGAATATTACATTTGCCAGGTGCAAAGTGTAATGTCTAGTAGCAGTGGACATATAGAGAATTTTTATCTCATTCTTGCTTTCATCATTGAACCATGAAATATGCTTTGGGTATTTGCTCTGGATTGTTGAAATATGATTTATGTATCTAAGGTAATGGTTATAAACTTCACCAGTGAGGGTTTAATTACTCTAAAAATTGTGGGCTAAAATGAGCTCACTTTTGGTAATAGACATGGTATTGTGAAGATGTTTCATTTTTTCTTGGAATTGCTTTGCTATTTTACTGTTTTTGTTAATTTGAGGAATATTTTTTTAGATAATATGAAGTTATTCATACTTTATTTTAATATGAAATGTTTTTCATTTATATGCACATCTGACCAATTGAATCAAAGTATTTTCTTCTTTGGGAACCTGTTTGTTTATTTATTCATTTTTAGTACTATGGCTTTCATTTTAAAGAGGATACAAGTAAAAAAATTAGAAATGACACAGAATTTCAAAAAACAAGATGATAGGAATTAAAAAATGGTTGTTATATTGCATATTCTTGTCTTCAAAGTAGTTGTTCAGATTACCAGA